CACCACCACCCCCCGCGGTCTCTCCGCTACGGGACCGCACTCCCCGCCGTCCTGAATACTAGACTCGCCCAGGCTCTCCTCGCCCGCCTCCCCCCGCCCCAGCTGACCAGGCCGGGGCGCCTCCTCGGACTTTAGGACTCTCCTCTGGGGCGTCGGGTGTAGTGTCCTAGCGGCAGGAATGTGAGATGTGAGTCGCCTGCAGGGCGTCCCGCGTGTTCCTCACGAGAGTTCGACCACTGAGGAGGTGAGTGAGGCAAAGTCTCTCCTAATCAAAGCTATGAGCCGCAATCAGTCAAACCCCTTCCCGTGGTATATATTTTAGACGGTCCTCCTCAAATGAGACTGTCTCTACCAGAAGGAGAAAACGCCCTCCCCCCCCCCTCCTCCTCGATTTTCCTTCATTTCTTAGATATTCTCTACCAGAAGACAAAGCCCCACCCCACCCCTCCAAGCGCTTTTCCCTCTATAAGTTTTATCTCTCTGCATTCACTGATTGAAACACTACACACAATTCCGTCGGCTTGTGTAGGGGGCGCGGTCAGGAGGGCCTAAGCCGATTGAAGTTGAGTGACACTCTCTTGCTCTGTGCGCCGCTGTCTGTGCGGGCGGCTCGGCGGTGCCCGATTAGTGACACTTCTCTGCCCGCCTCAATAGCCGTTTAGGAGCAGGGCGCTGAGAAGGCGGCTAGGCTGCCTAGGGGAGACGCCGAACAAAAGGGAAATCGGGCAAATGCTTCGGGAAACAAAAGCTAGGTGGCGTTTGTTGAATCATTTCATTAAGTTCTTGAAGTCCTCTCCTGCAGTATCTGGAGCCCAGCGTGGCCGGTCAGCGCCGTTTGAGCATACTAGACCGCATGCAGGCGCGCGGGCGGGTTGCCTCTGCGCTCGGAGCCGCACGCCTGCTCACCCTCCATAATCTTTTCATGCGGTATTACTTTTTCCTTCATTTTATTTGGGTAGGGGAGGGGGGGGTGCGAAGTTGCGGTACATCACGGAGATGATCTCGAGCTGCGTCGTTGCGGCCGCATGCTCGATTCTCCCTTTTTCATCACGACGGACCTTTCTCGCTGCGACACCGACACAGTGCGGCGGATCAGATGAAAGCGGACGATACCTCAAGGCGTGATACGCGGTTATCAGCTCCACAGACGCATTTGAGACGTATGACATGCCTTGCTTTTTGTGGCCACGGAGACTACACGATAAAACATATCGGTTTTTAAAGCGTCGACGTTTTGCGGTGCGGGGACACGCAGACACGCAGTTCGCGCTGGAGAAGGGGGGGAGGAGGGGTGCACTCTCGGCTCGGGGGGGAAACAGGACTCCCAGCGATTGTGCGGGTCCGATCGAATCATTACTGCCGTCGCATCGACTGTCTCGCTCGCAGGATGGCCGGCGGCGCTGCGGGGGAAAGGAAACGATTAAATACCCACGGCACCGCCGCGCTCGTTTTGTAAGGGAAAACCCGGAAGCGGCGCGCGGGGCAGGGCCGGGCAGGGCCGGGCAGGGCCGCTTCTGTCCGGAGGACGCAGAATAAATAATTGACGACGCCGGGAACAACACCGCGCCGGACTATATAACGTCGCCCCGCGCGGCCTCTTTGCTGCGGCTGAGGACCTCCCTCCAAACTACTACATGTGTGGTTGTTATACCGAGCCACGTGCAGAGCTGGGCTCTCCATAGGCGCCCGAGCCGAGCGGATGGGTAATAATTCGCACAACTTTCATGCAACAACTATAACAACTGTACACAGTCTGTCGTAGGTTTTCAGCCACCTGCTGCTGCCAAAGAGGTGCCGACGGTCTGCCGTAGCCCCTTTTACGCACAAAAGGCCACCAAAAAGGTCTTCAAAAAGTCGGTGAGACCATCTATCGCGGCACTTGAAGAGCAAAGTCGTACAGGAAGAGCGCGGCGCTGCGACTCCGGGCTCCCGGGACGTGGCGTGGGCTTGGACCCCTCCTGGAGTCACCCTCTGGTCTGCTGTGGCGTCGCGCGTTGAAGTTCCCGTCCGTCAACAGATAGCCGAAAGCCAAGTTCACGGGTCAGAGGCGTTAGTGTTAATCATCGTAGCGATTGTCTAGAACAGAAGGTACGCACCAGATTCATTCGACAAAGTACGGGAGTTCGGCGCCTGCGAGACTCGGGGTAGGCCAGCCCGCAGGAGACGCAAGCTCTGCAGGCAAGATGTTGCCTACCCATCAGGCGCTGGGAGAGCTTGCAGAAGCTGGACCTAGGCAGAGTTTCGTAGTTTCTGGATTACCCCCTACGCCAGCCCTTTCCCCATGACTGTCGACAGGGCCACGGCTATGGTCACAAGCGAGGCGACTTCCACGCGTTACCGACGACACCCGGTCCCGCCGTGCATCACAGAAAAGCCCGCCGAGAGCACGTCTCAGCGAGCAGGTTTCAGTTCCCCGAAAGTCCACTGGAGCGGGGTGTGGCCCAGTCTCCCCTGAGCTCGTTCCACTCGCACTTGCGTGGCCACATTATCGGACAGACACGTATCATTATAGGAGCCTTTATTCGATTTTTTCACGTTTCGTTTTGTTTTGCTCGGCGAGGAGTCTTGTTAGCTCAAAGATGGTGCGGGGTACATTTTCGACGAGCGCCTGATCGAGGTCGCTCGGCGGGATCGATACAAGAAGAAACTTCTTTCTTGTACGTTGAGGAAGGTTGCATACATGTGTGCCACGCACGATATCGCCCCCTCCCTCGATTCATCCACACTTAAAGCGTATATATATATAGTAGGCAAGCGCAAGATGCAACCCACAAAACACCTGTGTACCCGTGGGAAATTTTCCTATATTGTATGTTTTAATTTCCCACGGATACACAGGTGTTTCTTGGGTTGCATCTTGCGCCTGCCTACTAGGAAACCCCTCGGCCCAGTGTGCGAACGTTGCCTATTAGCCAGGCGTAGATGCACGCAGGTGTGTTCGTGGGAATTTTTGCCTACTTTATCTGGCAACACTCTCTTTTCCAGTCAGCACTTCGCTGTCTTGCCCGCTTCTTGATCGCTTCACAGTGTACACTGTACTGCGGGCACGCGTTGCGTGACGCGATGCGAGATGCCCCGCGATGCCTCGCTCCGCGTGACCTCCTCCAGGGCCTCCAGGGCCTCCAGGGCCTGCGGGGCCTGCAGGGCCGGGCCATGCGCGCTCCAAGGGCTGCGCCCATTGGTCACGCGGCCCCCACCCGGCCAATGGGGGCGACGGAGACGAGCCTGGGTGGGTGCGGGACTCGCAGGAGAGGTCCCATCAGCAAGGGACCGAGCACACAGCACAAACGCGCAGCTTGCGGGGCGTGACGCGGCGCAGGACGGCGTGAGTGAGAGTGAGAGAGACAGAGACAGACAAGCAGAGAGTGAGAGATAGACTGCAAAAGAAGTCCGCTTCATTATCAGAGGGTATGAATAGGCCTAGGGTTAGGACAAGACTGCGACCACCTTCTTTGAAGTGCCCTGATTGTCTATACCCCAGGTACTCAATTTATTTAGGAGGAGAGAAGATGCATATAAGATTCATTTTGCAAAATAAGAGAAATTGTAGGTCAAGGTTTGTCGCCAGCAGTATAGCCGTTGCCTTAAATAGCTTACACGATTTTAAATGTTTCTCACACTAAAAAGGGATTTCTTTCTAAAATTTTGAAAATTTGCACCCTCACTAGCAGAGAAACTGGGTCGCTCGAGGATGCAAAGTGCCGGTCCCCGCTGCTCCCCCAGGACTTCCCCTCCGCGTGGCTTCCGAAGCGGCGCAGCTAGACGAGGGAGGTCGCGGTTAAACGTCGAGCTAAACGTGTCTAAGTGACACGACGCGCCGTCAGTCTCAGTGGGTGCGTAACGAGGGGCGTAAACGAGGTTAGGAGCGTATGGCGTCCTGGTGCGCCGCCGGCTGCTGCTTGACTGGGAGGGTGTCGCGACCCCGCGTCCCGCGCGCCCCTGTGTCCTTTCTTCGAGATCTCTGACTGACTGCTGCTGGCGGCAGGCACTCCGGTAGAGCACCCGGGCAGGCGGTACGGGTGAGGTAGTCCACCCGCCCTGCAGGCGTGTCTCCCGGTCGCAGCGATTGCCTACCTCCCAGGCGGTTCCCGAGCGGCGCCCGGCCCGCAGGCGTCAGGCGTGACTGCCGGGCGTGGTGGACTGCTTTACCTCCAAGGCGGGAAGGTTTGTTTGTTATAAACACCATTGTCATAGCGCCGGGAGACACGGACGACACTCTGACCAAGCTTCTTCCTCTTAATCTCTCTTCTGACCCCTCCCCTCCCTTTTCCCTCTTGCCTATTTTTTCTCCCCCTCTCTGTGTACTCTATGGGAAAATGGGCCGAGAGGCTGCTGCGCAGGACTCTGCCGCCTGCAGAAGGAGGAGACGCCAGCAGTTCCCCCCTCCCCCGCCTCTGCCTCACTCTCCCTCTCTCCTCACGTATTATAGCATGAGAAAAAAGAGCGCGCGGCGGGCCGACGTGCCTCGCTTTGTACGATGCAGGGTCGGACGATCAGGGTCGAGCGCCGCGGAGACGGCCTCCATCAGCGGGGACAGGTAATGAAGAAGGGACACACGGCAGGGCAGACGGGGTGTGTTGCGAACGCACAGCGCGGCGCTCCCACTTTCTGTTGACTCTTCACTTTCGACAGCCGCGCGGTCGATGTTGACCTCATGGTTTTTCGGTCCTCGGCAGGCACCAGTAAACGCATATGAAAAGTGTAGTTAGGCCGCTCGTCGACGTTTTTGAAAGCTGTTTTCCCTCCGATAGGAGCTCGGCACTGGAGTCGTGGAGCTGCGGCCAGCAGAAACCACCACCGCAGTGTGTTGGTGTGGGGCGATGAGGTGCGGGGCGGGGCGGGGTGGGGCGGGCGTCCGCAGCATTGGCAGCCCCGGTGTCACGATGAGGTTCCCGCCTTTCCCTCTCTTGAGGAGGAGGGGGGGGGAGTAGGTGAGGGAAGGCCCGCTGCGCCGTTGTCGTCGGCCCCCGGGCAGGAACCGGAAAGGAGGAAGAAACTGCTGTTTGCCGGACAGCGCGCTCGAGTGTGTTTAGCGCGCCTCGGTTCGACTCACCCACCGCGGCGACAGGAGAAGGCGGGGGCAGTGTTGAAGCGAGCGAGCGAACTCTCCATTTTCTCCCGGGGCGCAATATACCGCTTGAATGCGTCGCCCAGGATAAGCACACGTGACCTGTTACAGACGGACGCGTCTCCTTCATTTCTTCGGGGCTGTTTGCTGTTCCCCGGAAAAGGGACACTAAGGGATCGTCCAGAAAGTACGTTCGTTTTTCTCAGATTCATTAGGCAAATTACGGGGAGCTCGACGCCTGCGAGACTCGGGGTAGGCCATCCCGCAGTACACGCATGCACCGAAGGCGTGATGTTGCCTACCCAGAAGACGCTGTGTTAGCTTGCATTGGCTGAACTTGGCAGGCTCATCACGGCAAATGACGGATGTACTTCCTGTATTATCCCTAAACGGAGACGTCTAGTCTAATAATCGAATGTCGAATTGTCGAGTCAGTATGGACTCGAGCCCAGCACTGCTGCAGGGCCTTTCCGCGGCTCCCTGACCCTTGACCCCGCGCCGGGCCGCCGCGCGTTACCTCACCCCGACCCATCCCATCATCCTCCGCAGCGCGCTCCTTTGTACCCCGTGTTGCCAACTGACGGGTTAAAAATTGCTGCTGAATCGCCTTAGCGTCGTTGCTTCACTTCCTGTCTAATAGTGATAGTGCTGGCGGCGGGTGGCCGGACTTGAGCCCTCTCTCTTTCTATCCTCCTTCTGTCCGCCCCCCCCCCCTCCCTCTCTCTCCCCTCTCTCTCACCTGCCACCTCCTCACCTCCTCCCTCTCCCTCGCACGCCCTGTCACGATGATGCTTCTCGCAATGACGTTACGCTGGCGCCCGGGCCGGGCTGAGATGACGGACAGATGGATTCAAAAGGTTTCTCTTCTCTTGTTGTTATCAGGTCTCCGCCATGGACAGGCGTCACAGCGGCGACGCGAGCAGGACCCCAATGGCTTGGCGGCACCGCGACCAGCTGTACCAGCAGCAGCAGGGCTACCACCAGGGCAGCGGTAAGGTCCCGTTCAGAGAACAGCATCTGGCCCGTTTGGGGGGCCTCGGCCCCCGGCCCCCCGGCTCCCGCCTCCCGACCCCAGCTGGGTGTCTTCACAATGAACGTTTCACGAGGCGACGCTAATCGTAGCGCCGGCTGCACGCTGGGTAGGCCAGCCCGCCAGGCGGCTGTGTGAAGTCGGCGGCCCGTCCGGAGCGCCAAGTGAGTGCGGCGGGGGGCCTTCGGGCAAGAGAACGTTTGACGTCCAACGTTTACTCGCGAAGCCCAGCGTCACCTCCGGAGACGTTCATAGTGAGGGCACCGTAGCACTGCACAGCAGGACAGGCCATGGTCGTGGAACTCAGGTTTCAGAAAACCTCCGAGCCACACACTAAAATCTTCTGAACATGTTTATTCACAGCCACAGCTTACTGAGTTCTGTAAACATGCTCCGCTGACGCATTGCCTAACAAGCCAGTGTGAAGAAATTTGTTCGCAATAATTGTACTGATGTCATTTTCTTGCACGTTGGTACAGGTGAACAGCTGTACGAGACGCACGCTCCCCGTTCGACCCGCTCGGGGCCACACCGACCGTCGAGGACAGCGTCCCCGCCCGACACCAGCAACACGAGCAGCTTGTCGTCCGAGTCGCAGACCCCGCTGCCACACCACGTCCCGCACCATGCCGCCCTGGGAGCGTCCTCGGCATCCGTCGCGGCGGCCGCAGCGGCCGCGGCCGCCTCCATGCCCACCTGGGACGCGGAGCCCTGCCCCAGCGTCATCTACGGGCACGGACCACCACCTGGCATGCTCCAGGGCCTTCCCCCCGGCGTGCACCCCGGCATGGTCATGCTACCCCCCGGCTACCCGCCGGGCTACCCGCCTGGCTACCCGCCCGGCTACCCACCGGGCTACCCGCCGGGCTACGCGCTGTCCCCGGTGATGCTCGGGCCGCCGCCGCCGCCACCCGGGCCGCCCGCCGCCATCCTGCTGCCGCCCATGATGAGGCCCAGGCCGCTCGTGTTCCCCGCTGACGTGACCCCCACGCCCCCCGAGCCCCTGCCGGTGCGCGAGCCCAAGGCCGCCATGCTGCCGCCCAAGGAGCTGCTCGTCGCGCGCAGCAAGATCCGCTGCTGCCGCGGCGGCTGCATCGTGCTCTGGATCATCCTCGGCCTCATCCTGGTGGGCGCCCTGCTGGCCACCGCACTGCGCTTCGTCGTGCCCTGACCGACCCCTCAATCATCAGTCGTGACGGAAGGAGGAAAGACTGGCGGCGATCCCCCCACACCTCCCAGTGAGAAATTTTTCCGACGACATCTATTTTCACGTCGTTACGACATAAAAGTTGGCCTGAAATCGACGGCTTTTCGACAGTTAAACGTCGACACGACATAGAAACGACATAGACTGCAGTCGATTTCAGGCCCACTTCTACGTCGTAGTGACGTGAAAAACGATGTTTAAACGATGTCGTCGGAAAACATTTCTCACTGGGGCCCAGTCTGCCCTGAGCAGAGCAGCATGGAGGTGGAGACACTTTGCGGCATTATTAATCAAGTTCTTCTTCTTGAATCCACACATTAAGATGAGACTGAATTGATCAATGTAAATAAATCGCTGTAGTTTTAAGTTTATGATTAAAGTACTGTACTGAACTTTCATTCATAATTTTTTTCTGAACCATATACTCTTGTTTCCTGGACACTTCACAAGGAGATTGGGCGAAAAATGAAAAATGTAACACAATTTTCACATATGAAACTCAATTTTTAATATCTTTTCAATTACATAAAACCAAAACATAGCTGAAAATGACTAGATTGCGTACTTCATAGCCTGATAAACAATGAACTACACATACCAAAAATTAAAAAAACTGTTTTTTCTGAACAGGTTTAAAATAAGTACATTAATTTGAACTTTTAAATGAGCTCACATTAAAACCCAGCTGCTGTATGATTAGTGATTGCATTATAAGATTGCTATACATGTGGACACAGTCAGAGATTCTAAATTAGTGATGTTTGAAAAAATTAGGGTGATTAGTGATTACTAGAACTATGCACGCGAAGGAGAATTTGCCAGTTGTCCGCGCCAGCACCAGTGGCCCGTAGAGGCAGTAATTTCCCGCACCGAAGGCAGATTCTCCCTCGCGTGCAACACTCTACTGATTACCCCTCAACACTCCCTACTCTGTTCTAAGAGTAATTGCTAAAGTTCTCAAACATACAAAGCACGGGACATGGATGACATTCGGACGTCACTGCCACAAGTTGACAGGACCAAGGGCTAATAATAGGAATATTGACAGAGATTTGGAAAATCATCCAAGAGAAATGTGGCAAATTACAGGATATAAAATAAGCAAAATGTGCTTTGGAAGAATTAGGAATTGCCATGTGTTCATATAAGTACAAACTCTGGAGGATTTTCCTTCACATTCCTAGTCATTGTGAGGGTATATAATTGCACACAACAACCTTATGACACTTCTCAACTAATCAACCGTTCAGAAATATGGAACAAATTTATTTCAGATTCTTGACTGTGCTGGCAACATGAACAAGGGGAATGTCTGGAACATGATAGATAGATATTAATAAGGCATGTCTACCTGTGTTTGCTAATTTGAGATACTTTACTTCGCTCGTTGTTAATAATATTGTATCTGACATTTCTGTTTAACCAATGACTTATTCGAAGATGTACCCAGGATGGTGAGAGTTGCATGAAATACGCCTGCAAGATAAGCATTAATAAAGATTAGAGACAAACAAAAATTACCTACTGCTTTCGAGTTAAGACGGTAAGATTATTATAGCTTTGTCAGAAAGTAATTCTGAACAAAAACTTACAAAAAAACCATGCAACCAGTATCCAGTGGAACGGTCAACAATTCCAATAGTTGAAATAGCATGACGGGAAAACATTTCGGCATTTGGCACTAGGTAAGGATTTTGAGTAAGGTGTGGTAGGTATGACTTGATCATACTCGTATTAATATATCCAGGAATGAGTGATTGAACTTTTACTCCAGTTCCTCTGCACTCTTCACTTAGGGCCTGAGATAGATGATCAATGTATGCCTGTAAAAAGAGGAGATAAGAAAAAATTGTCATCAACATTTTAAGAAAATAAAACTAGTACACATTAGAAACAATAAAAAAGTCAAACCTTTGTTGCAGCATAAACTCCCATGAGAGGCACAGGTTTTATAGATGATATGGATGAGAGATTAACAATGATTCCTCTTTGTCTTCTCAACATTGATGGAAGAACGACTCTAGTCATCATAGTCATGGCTCCGACATTAACGTTGATCATATCCCAAACATCATTTTCACTTAATTCCGTAAAATATAAAGGAGTGCCATGCAGAACACCGACATTGTTCACTGGAGACAGGAAAACAAATCAAATTAACACTTCTAGCTCTATCACAGAACTTTGCCATGGCCAAGTGGGATTTTTGAAAGTGTTAACAATGTAAGACTTTGTAACATACCCAAGACTCCGACATCCAGGACATCAAGCTCTGTAGCAATTTTTTGGTAAATTGATCTGCCTTCACTAAAATCTACCTGAATAATCTTTGTCTCAACACTGTAATCCATTTCTGTGAAGGGAAAAAGAGGACACAAACATTTGGTTAAGAATGAAAAACTTTAAGTGATAGAGGACTGATGCAAGATTATGACAAGAAAAAAAGGTAAATTCATTAGATAATACATACCAACTTCTTTCGCCAAGTCGCTCAGTTTGTCTATATTTTGACTGATGAGAACAACATTCATCCCACGACGAGCAAGCTCTACTGTGTAAGCACGTCCAATTCCAGAGGTGCAACCAGTGATAACTGAAAATGTAAAATTTAGAAGTGAAGTTATATCAGTGGTAAGCCAGATTATTAAATGACAAACTAAGTCAATATAGCTCTTGCTTTTTGACAGAGAAATCAGCAGAGAAGTTTGGTACGTTTACATACCAGCCCATCGTCCATAAGTGTCAGCAATGCTTGGTGAGGGTAGGATTCTTGATAAAACGTGAGCTCTAAATCCTTGGATGGCAGACCATGTTAGAGAAACCGTCAGTTTCCCAAGGTAGCAGATGCCCAAAACAGTCAGAATTTCTTCATACATCCCTGAATCTCGGTTCAGCTCGTGCATGTAGTAAGCTACGGAATCAACAGAACTCATGACTTTCTTGCTGTCCCACTAAGAAAATGGGTAAACACGGATCCACTGCAAGGTTTCCCCCCTTCTAAATATGTTTTGTACGCTCCGTTTGTTCAAAACATTAGGAGACGGACTTTTTTTTTGTACTATCTTCTTTTTGTTTAGATAGTTTTCGTCTGCTGAAAATACTGCTGAAAATACATTACCATTCAGATTGATATTCGGTAGTTTCCGCTAGAGAAGAGGGCGCCAGCGTCGTAGACGGAAGAGGGAAAACCGTGATGAGCGAGTAATGACTGAAAAAGAGCACGACGCGATACTCGACTTGCTTATATACTCCGCATCACGACCGCAAGCCAGCACATCGGAGCCTCGATGGGTACGACGCGACGCGACCCTGGACATTGCCCCCGCGCTGGATGCTGGAGGGAGGGAGGCATCGGGACAGGGCGTAGGGAAGGTGTGTGGCGGAGGAGGGGGAGAGGAGGGGGAGAGGAGGGGCCCGGTGTGCGTTTTTGCCTACCTGCCCATGTGAGAAATGCATGTCGAAACGATGCCTGGGGTGCTGGAAAGGGCGCGTAACTTTTCAAATCACGTCGGCAAAAGAGAAATGTCATCACATTTGCTCGGCATTCATCGTGAAAATCAGGAGTTTCAGAATGGGTGCTGTCGAGTGCCGTCACTGCAAAAGCCGTTCCAAACACCACAACCATAATTTAGGGGTACCGGGGTACTTCCCCTCTATCAGTGAGGTGCATCGGCGGGGCTCCTCACTACTGTACGGTTGGGCATTCAAGTGTGCATGAAAGCTGAGACTTGTTCAACGCATGTTATAATGTGCAATGAGGCGTTTCAAGCGCATAAGCGCCATGTGCTCATTAAATGCGTCGAAAATGTGTTACCTTTCATGTGAATTCTCGTACCGTGCGTAAGGTTATCACATAAATCTTCTCCCTGAATTTTGAAAATCCGGTGGTGTTACTCGATTGGAAACGCCCTAAAATTCTTCTCTTTAAATTGGGCGACGAAATTTCGTCGATCATGGAACCCCGACACGGTTTCTGAAAATAGCCCCCTCCGGCCCCATGATGGGCTTCTACGCCCCTGGAAGGGCTCCCTGGTCAGGTGACTTTCCGGTTCTTCATTGGGTCGTTGCCCCCATTGCCGCAACGTATGGCCGTTTGAGCATGTTTGAGGGGAAGGGGTGGGGGTGGGGGCATGGTTCGACACCCCGTCCTCCTAACGTTTCATCACACCCAACGTCCCCTCTAACGTGTCATTACGTCCCTCTCACTCCCTCCCATGTGAGCGTTTGACGTGATATGAGCGCTCACTTCAGCAATGTGTGGCGCCACACAAAACCAAATAACGTCAAATTGAAAATACTTTTGAAGAATTACACTCTCCTTACTTGTCATTTTGCCTCTCACGTGGACGCTCATCGCTCATCTCCCGTGATACGCCAACACGTGCTTAACTTTACATACGTGCGGCGTACGTGCGTACGTCTACTTCACTTCACAACCTCCTGAAGGGGTGGGGGGCGTCTTAGGAACGGAGCGAGTGAACGCGCGAACCCAACGAATGTTCACGACGTTGATTCAAGTTCACCCGTTCTCCCTGTTCTTGGGCGAGCCACCGACTTCACATGGCTGTTTGGCGGGTTGGCCTACCCAGCAGTCGTTAGCGTCTCTTATGAAACTTTCATTGTTGGGGACACTTTAACGCATTGATTGCGCTTCTATGAGCGTAGAAATTAACACGGTAGGTGAAACATTGTTTACGCTTTTACAGCGTATCAAAACATATAATGCGCATAAGCGTCACCTTTTATGTGGGCATGTCGCTGTCCCAGTGAGAAATCAAAATCGATGTGACATCGAATCGACATCAAATAGATGTCAGTTATCGGAAATGTCTCGATTTTCAGACCATCTCAGGATCGATTCGACACGATAATCGACAATTTACCGACAACGATATCAGTCTGACATCATTTCGATGTAACTGTTTCTCACTGGGGTTCCGCGGTTGTTTCGGTTCCCGTTCCCTAAGACGAGTCTCTTCCTGCAAACAGTGCTTTAGTACGTTAAACGCAGATGGGTCTAGCAGCGCCACTACCGGCGCCTCAAGCAACTTAATCAATCAGTAAACTGCATGTGGAAAATGGCGTTAGTGCTAGAGTTTGAGTAAATCTGTACCCAAAATATCTGTTCTTTTAAAAAGGTACGGTATGCCCCAACAGCCTTATGCTCTGTTCATGTGTTTCGTCCCGTTTTATCGTTGAACTATGCCGGTTGCATTAGTTTACGAACGTGAAAGACAGGTTGTACAATCGTTTTCGGTACGATCCCTTTTTTCAAATTTTAACGGCATGCGATGTTTGTGTTCGTGAGATAATTCATGACCGTCTTCATAGTTTGTGTGAATTTCCTCTCAATTTCGTTACTGTTTAAATGTGGTCAACATCCCTCTAACTTGGTGAATAATTTCGTTTCTTGATGCCCTCCCTTAACCCTCTATTTACAAACTTACTTGCTTTTACTTATTTCTTGCAAGGTTTTGTTATTACTTGTTAATAGTAAGTCAGGAAATAATTGAAAACTTATCACCATTTCCAGGACCTGTCATGTATAACGGAATCGGTTTAAGTACAGCAAGAGGCTCAGGCACCAACGGTTATGTACAACGAAATTGGGCCATAGTCCGCCCCAAAGAAAAAACTAAGTACAAAACTGAAGAAGAGCTAGAAAAAGTAGAAGCCTCTGCCAATAAGCAGCCAAACAAGGAAATCCTTGATCATGAACGAAAGAGGAAAATAGAAGTGCGGTGTGAGGAATTAAGACAAGCCTTGGAAGACCAAGGGTATGTCATTACTTGCAGTATTGTACAGTATTCTTCCTTATATTCAAGTAACAATTACTAAAAAATGCATTTTGGAATGTTGCAGATATACCTCTGAAGAAATTAATGAAAAAGTGGTCCATTTCCGCAAGCTGCAAATTGATGGGAAGAAGACAGAAGCAAAACGTGATGAACATGGCAGAGTTGAGTAAGTTACTAGCTTATAATTCTTGCTTGTTTTCTCTTCAAAACAACTTCATCATCCTCATTTTATATTAATTAATTCTGCTTACTGTGGGTTGTCAACTTTTTCACCCATGTTAGAAAACTTTCCTAATCAAATTTGGAACAACTTTTGGTTCCAGTAATGGGGCATCAGTATGTTAATTTAAAAAAATTATATTTTCCTTTGTCACCAAGCTTGATAGATGTAGTATGTGATGTATAGTAATTTTTCTGTGGGTACGTGTACTCTGAGTATCTTTTTCAACATCCTCCGGTTAAATTAGCTATCACATCAACGTTCAGATGTGCTGTTCCCTGGTATTAAATTCCTCCCTCCCACTCCTCGATATAGTCAGTACAGCTCTGGTAGGAGTCGGCCCGGAGGCTGCTGATGTGCAGCACCCAGGGAAGGGTGCTCATGGGTGGTGAATTGTTCTGCACCTCCCTGTGACCGCTCCCCTTCACTCTCCGCATCACGGCCTCGACGTACTTATGGTGAATGCGAGGGGTGTGAACCCTCCCTTTGCGCTCGGACGAGTATCGAGCGAAAGGGAGGGAGAGGGGGGGGGGAGGACAGGGTGGCAGCCGGAGGGGAGGGTGGTGAGAGGGTGGGGCCGCCCTCTCCTGCACCGCGGGTGGATCGATAGCGGAAGTCGGTTGCCACCCCTCTGGACTTGCTCTCCAACCAGGCAAGCAAGTCACCTCAGCGCAAAAGGCTTGTCCTCCTCCCGCGCCCTGTGAGCTACTCGGGTACTTCTCTCTCCCTCTCGAGCATTTGTGGGAGAGACGTTGACGTTGAGAGGCGGACGAGCAGCATCCTGCGGGAAGGCGAGGCTCGTGCGGAAGGCAGTCCTCCGAGGTTTGATTTCATGCTGTTGGAGTGTGTCCGTGTTAGGTATGTGTACCCGACTCTGGCAGCCCTACCCTCTTTGGCGCCGCCCCCAGCTACCCCCACACACCGCCGGCAGCCGCCGCGCCCCAGTACGCCCCAGCCAGCCACCCCCACCCCGCCCGGATGCACATCCCCATCCCCTCTGGACCGCGGTGGGCGGCGCTAAGCTGGTGCGTGGCGGCCCAGGCTGCCAGGCTCCTCTCAGTCTGGCCACGGCGATGAGGCGCTTGACGTCGCCAGGCGCCGCGAGGCGCCGCGGCCTTGGCGCCCTCCCCCGCGCGTCGGTAATGGCGGCCGGACCGCTCGGCCTGCCCTCCGCCAGCCAGATGTGATCGCGAGCCGTCTCAAAATCACAAATGTCTTCCACTTAGCCTTTAAGCAGTTACTTGTAACCAAGTCTTCCATAGCGCGCTAAGTCTAGTTTTAAGTATTCTACTCGTCTACCAAAGTTTTGTGATATTTCCCTCCGGCTTCCAATCGCTATTGACTTTGCGACGTTTCGTTGGAGTTTCGCGGCATTGAGTCCGCATCATCACGTCGGCAAGTTCACGACCTCGGACGCGGAGGGCAATGTTCTCCCGGGAGTTCAATGGCGCCCTGGCCGAGGCCGGGGAGCGCGAGTTTACCGAGGGCGATCGTTTCCTCTTCGAACGCATGTGGCGGAGTTCGTTCCTTCGCCACGGCACGGACCCGGGCCATGGGCATGAGATCGTCCACGGCCCCGGCCACCACGGCCCTGTTTACACCCTGGACGGCTACCGCTACTTCACTCACGCCCACCCCCACGTCGCGGCGTCTCCCGCCACCCCCACCCCCGCCCACGGCCATTGCTGCTGCACCTGCGGCGGCGCCGGCCTCGGCGGCCAGGCCGACGGCGGAAAGCTCCAGATATGTGTGGTGCGCCCGAAGGCGCACAGTGTGAGGCACGGCCTCAGGCACCGCTCCAAACACATGCGATCTGTTGTGAGGTATACACGCCCTCCTGCTCCGCCCCATCTCTCATCGTGTGAACTTAGCATTTTACTACTCTGTCTCATCCCCTTTCCGTGCAAGTGTGACTGGCGCATATTTTACTGAGTGCTTTTCTCTTTGCTTATTTTGTCAAAACTTCCTCTTTCCAGTGTTCGCGAGACTCACGAGATTGCGGAGGCCCAGCAAGAGAAGAACGCCAAACTGAGAGACGCCTTTGGTATTTCCGAGTATTTCGTTGAGGGAAGCAGCCTGGATCCGGAGCGACAAGCCAGAGAGAAGGCAGCTCGAGAAGCTGCCAAGGAAGCTGCCAAAGAAGCAGCGAAGGAGGCTGCTGCTGCTGCAGCTGCAGCAGATCCTAAGAAATACCAGCTGGTCAGAACACCAAGTCCTGAAGTAGAAAAACCTGCAAAGAAGCGGAAGAGGAAAAATAGGGAAAGGTAATTCTTCCTTATCCTAATGTAGTTTCCCCACGCAGTAGTTCTTGTCCTAACTGTGTGTTTACTTACAGCTCATCAAGTCCTGAGCCCAAGAAGAAGAAGAAGTCCAAAAAGCATAAGAAAGATAGCAGGTAAGCAAACATTTGATTTTCACCTTGGTCTAGCAGATCTGATGATATTGTTCTATAAATTATCTTGCTTTTTGTAGGTCAGAGTCACCTAAACGGAAGAAAAAGGAAAAGAAGAGGAGTAAAGATGACAGCAAGAAAAAGAAGAAGAAAAAGCACCACTCGGAAAGTGAAGACTCAAGTGATTCAAGTGATGATTCAGATGCCTCAGCGTAAGTTTCAATTATTTGTTGCACGCATTCAAGTTTTGTAGATATTTGGAATAAAGTGTTTTTGTTACCATCAACTTTTTATTGAAATCCCAATGTTTTTTGTACATGTTATGAACAGTTCATCAGAGGATTTGAAGAAAAGAGAAAAGAAGGAAAAGAAGAAATCAAAGGAAAAGAAGAAGTCAAGCAAACATGAGGTAAAGCTACATTTAGTTTTATTTGGTGTTGGGTAACACCAACTTATTTATTTCGGTTGTATCGGGCATTATTTTTTTTCCAATCTCAGTGTTATTTCCTTCAATTTTCAATTTCAACGTATAAGTACCAAATGTGTTGTGCGTTCAGCATTTGGTTGGATGGTTTTGTTAAAAACCAATTCTATGTGACACGTTTGTAGTTACTAATTCCCTCAGATGTAATTCAGCATTCAACACATCTGTACTGATTGTCTTATTTTAACTTCTTGATGATTTGGTTTACAAAAACTACTTCCATCCACTGAATTGGTTTGATGACCATCTAAACTATTCGCTGAATACATGACATTTTATTATTTTAAAATCCATTTAATTGAATGTGCAGTTAGCAGTGGGATGTGGGTTGTTTACTCAGTTTTAAGCCTGACAATGCTCAGGACAAAATGTGGTTGGAGATTTGCATGGATCATTACAAAGTTACAGAAAGGGAAGGGTTTTTATAGGTTGTCCTTCACATTACGAAAAGCTAATTTTTTTTGAGCAATTAAAGCAAAGCAATATAACATTTTCTATTAGTCAGATCACCTTGCATGCAAGTCTGACCCAACTGCAATTTAGATCAAAAGAAGGACACTGTTAGGTGCAAGAGGGCTAGTTCTATTCCCACATTGTATATTTGATGTTCAGAACTTACGACTCTTCACCACATTTATCTTCAAATATGCGAATTGCCTAGGTTTTAAATAGAAATAAACCTTCTGTAGTGCCTTTTCACTCAAATTTGTGTTCTTTTGGGAATATTAATAGCAGCAAGTTTTTGGACGTTATGCCAAGGAATATTACAAATAGTAAGTATCTGCGTATATTCATATTTGCTCAAAATTAATTCTGATTTAGAAAGTTTTTTTTTCTTTTTTTTTATCTTTTTGTTTTGAAAAAGAATTTTATTTGTGTTGAGACATTGAATAACACCATTGGTAAATTATCTGCATTTTATCTCTCCTATTTGTTAAAAGGAGGTACTATACTTCTTAAACCACACATGTTCCTCTTTCGGTGCTTAATCTGTGTGGCATCCAATCAACTGAGGACACCAGTCTTGTCTAGTCAGATGTTAATGTCAGAGTTGATGATTTTGGTGCAATTTTTCATACTTAAAATCTGATGGTTTTTAAATTATTTTTTGACAATTTGAGAAGGCAGTTATTTGCATCTTACTCAAAGTCAGGTTTTCATGTATGGGTTTCATTCCCCTTATGCCCTTGTTTTAATGGTCCTCTTACAATTCTTATCTAATTAGGAGTTTCCCCATTCAATCAAACATTTCTCACTAATGTGTACTAATTTATCCTTGGTTTGAAACGTCAGTGAAAGATTTGTTAAAAGAACAAATGAAAAGTGAGCACTTGGAAGGAAGTTCAATCAATTATTCTCTTCTTCTCTTCATTTCTATGTTGTGTTATTACCTAGGCCCCTCCTCAATATCTTTTATTTTCGCCCCACTTTAAAAGTATTGTGTGGAATGGATTATCATCATTAATGTCAATCCGTACGGCTACACCATCTTCTCTTGTCCCATTCCCAACTCCTATGATGTGTATTTCAACAGCTATTTCTCATGGTTACTTCTTTTTTTTTCACACCACCTCAATTTACATTGCAGCGGACTACAAATTGTGGCCAATGTTTTATTTCTTCTCCATTGATTAAGTGCTGCTTTTAGTAAGATGCTTAATATGTTTGCTGTCAATGTTTCTTTGCATGATTAAAAGAAATTTCCCCCTTGTTGTTTCCTACAATGCCTTAAGATATAAAAAAAATATTCTTCTTGTTTATATGACCTCACATAGGAGCCCTTTGGCATAAGTAAGTACTCGCTAGAAAAAAACAACAAAAAAAAACTATAATGGTGGCAGTGAACTTAATTGCAAAATTGTTGTTACTGCACTGTTTCAAATATTATTTTTGTTATGCAGTTTTTTGTTTTTAAATTCTAACTTATAGCATTTTTAGTCAAAGTGCTGGAACAAGTTCTAAAACAAATTTCTTGAGTAGTCATTATTTTGTAACCTTATGTCAGATGTTGAAATGTCTCAAGAGTCAAGAGTCTAAGTTTACAGATTTAAAGTACCTATAAGCAATTTGTCTTATGTTCCAGTTCTTTGTATCAGACCCATTGCATGTTCATGTTCAATCCCAAACGACGTAGCATTTTGGGTCTATTTTACTGGATGTTGTTTATGCATATAATAGTTCTTTTTTAAAATTTTGTTGTAAGCAGCACAGTTTTTTTTTTTGTTTCTCCTTGTTGCGACTTTAGTGCTTTTTATTGAGGTAAATGCTTTTGAAAGCAAGGGCAACGAACCCCATATGATAGTGGAAAATCACATTTTGTGTGTGTGTGTGTGCGTGACTGTATCACATTGAACAATCAATTCGTATTAAAGCTGAAATCTAAAAGCTTATCCAAGCTTTTTTTTCCGTGAAAGAAAACTGCGTTAAAATAGCAATGCTTCTTTTTTTTTTAAAATTGGTCTCGTTTTATACTTAAATTAACTTCTCTTAACTAGCCAATGCCCATAAATGCCTATTTTTCTTGCTTTGGAAAAAAAAAGAAATTTCATTTAAAACTTTTAACTGTCAGTACATTGAAGTGGTGGTGTTCTTTTATAGTATGCTTTTTCATGTTTGCTGAGGGCTTTTGTTTATGAGTGTTGTGTACTGGCTTGGTAGTAGCTGTTTCAACAAATTCGTTCTTAAGGTGATTATTTATCCTGCCACGGCCACTTTTTCAGTGCATAGATGTCAACTTCTTCTTTCAAGCAGGATTGTTCTGTTTGTGGAAATTCTCAATTTACCTACAGCCTTGTCTTATCAGCACCATACAGATTATGTCTTTTAACTTTACTATTTTTGAGCTTTTAAACAAAACGTTTGCTCAATGCTGAAGGAGTTGGTCTTGGTTGCGGTTTTGCGTGTCACTGTGAAAAATTGTTTGCAAGTTTATACAATTATTTCACTGCGGTGTATCTTAATAAGTATTATTGAGCCTATTCCACTTCTATTCCCCATTATATTATGCTTACAGTGAAGCACCTCACAAATGATAAAAGTCAGTTTGATGGAATCCGAAGTGATGTCATAAATGCTGAGCAGCACTCGTTTTGAAAACCTTTTTGTACATGTGGATTACGGAATACTAATTTTACCCTATTCCTTATTTTTTGCCTTCAGAAGAAACGGGAATCGAGGAAAAAACATCAAGCGTCATCAGATGATGATTCCGATGAGTAAGTTTATTACCATTAAATTAAAGTCAAACTCTATTGCAGCGAAAAATTGCTATTTAACTCTTGATTTCGGTCTTACAGGGATAGAGAACATCGAACCAAGAAACCAAAATCCGATGACGCATCCCGTAAGAAGGATAAAAAAGAAGACAAGAAATCTGGAAAGCCTGATGATAGCAGAAAGAAATTTGATGATGAATATATCAAGGAACACGAAAGGCGAAATGACAGTCGTTCAAAGCGGAAACAAGAGGACCATCGTGATGAGAGCAGAGATGACAGTCGCATGAGGCAAGGCATGAGACAAGACGACAAACACAAGCGTAGCAAGAAGAACTTTGAAATTATTACCGATGACAAAGAAAAGAAGACAAGGAAGTACTCTAGGAGTCCTAGTGAGATACGGAGTGATCTAAAACAACGGACAGAATCTAAAGACAGAAAGAAAGTACAGGAAGACGACAGATCGCGGGAAAGAGAACACGACAGGAGAAAAAAAGCAAGGGAGGACTCTGACACAGAAAGAGACCGGGATAAAAAGCGACCCAAGAGGCGAGGAAGGCCGGACAGCTCTTCGGACGACGACAGCAGCTCGGACGATGAGGACAAAGCCAAGAAAAGCAAATCTAAAGACAAACGGCCGGAAAGGGAGCCGAGGATGAAGGAGATCAGGAGGAGTCGGACTCCGCCGCCGCTTGACACACGGCGGGAAGCGCCTCGACGTCCTTCCCCCAGGCGCTCGCCGCCCAGGAGGTCGCCTGCCCGACGCCCATCGCCACGTCGCCCGTCTCCGAAGAGGCCGTCGAGGCGGTCACCCGTCCACCGTTCGTTGTCTAGGAGGAGGTCGCCCGCCCGCAGGTCACCGAGAAGATCCTCTCCACGCCGGTCACCGCGTCGCTCCCCGCCCAGACGATCGCCCCGTCGGGACCGTGAACGCTCTCCCCGTCGCTCGCGCTCACGGAACAGGCAGTTCAGGAGGCAGTCGCGAAGCCGCAGCCGTAGCGGGAGTCGCTCTAGGGACAGGAGGGCCCCCACGGGTGCTGTCCGCGCCCGCGGCAGGAGCTCTTCGCGCAGCCTGAGCTACTCCCCTGTCAGGAAGTTCCCCGAGCGCTACCGAGACATCCTTGAATCCAAGGACAAGAAGGGCCAGCAGGTGAACCCCAAGGTGGTGCCTCGCGTCAACTTGCGGGACTCGGACTCTGGCAGCGACTCTGACTCGGGCCGCTCGGACGTCGGCATCGGGGCGAGGGTGCAAAACGACAAGGATCTCCAGGCGCTCAGTATCCTCAAGTCAGGTCTTGCCGCCAAGGCCAAGGAGGCCATGGAGAGAAAGATGCCTAAACCTGCTGGGGCACCTCAGCCGTCCAGGCCTGATTCCCCCGGCAAGAAGGAGAGGGTGGAGAGAATACTGGCGGCTGTGGGAGGCGCTGGACCCAGTGGCGTACCTGTCTCGGAAATCTCTCTTCCCGAGAAGCCTCAGCCCATGTTCCCCGAGAAGCCGGTGGCACCACCACCTGTGAGAGTAAAGGTAGAGAAACCAGAAACTCCAGCTAAACCCGCCTACGTCGCCCAGACCACCCAGGAGGAGGAGAAGCCGTCTCTAACCGTTCAGTTGCCCAAGACGAAGCCCTTCCAACTCAAGGACACCAAGAAGTTGACTCTGTTCGGTCCAACCAAGAGCCTTTCGTCCAAGAGCCCAGAGACGGTAGCCCGGGCCCCGGCGGTGGCGGCAGCGCCTGCGTCGTCGGTGTCTCCCAAAGGGGCTAAGGGGCCCAAGGCGTCGCTATCTCCCAAAGGGGCGAGGGGGTCCAAGGCGGCTGCTAACGCCAGCGCCCCTGGCCTCGGCGCCCCTACGGCGCCTCCAGCGCTGCCCACCACCAACGGAGCACCTCCAGGGGGACCAAGAATGGCGGCTAACCGCTCCAAGCGGTCCTCGTCGAGTAGCAGTGAGCGCAAGTCTAGGAGCAGCTCCGAGTCCTCCTCAGCGTAAGTCACCTCTTCCGACGACACCCACTCTCACTTCCACAATTTCCTCGCCTGAAGTTAACCTTGTGATTGTTTTTTTTTTTTTTTTTTTTTTTTTTTTTAACTTACAGATCGTCAGGAAAGTCACGTAGCCGAAGCGGTTCTTCGTCTTCCAGTAGCAAATCACGCTCACGATCGCGCAGTGCGTCCCGTTCGTCAAAGTCTCGATCTCCCTCTGCTAAGTCAACCTCGAGGTCTGCTAGTAGGAGATCTCGGACGGGCAGCAGATCCCACTCGAGAAGCCATTCAAGATCCCATAGTAGGCACTCTTCAAGCAGCAGGTTTGTTGGATTTCAATCCTATCACATCCACAATGTACCGTATTTATTACAATGTCATGTGCTCTGTGACACATCTATCATGTAAATAATTAGGCTGTTCAACCAGGGATTTACAGTGTGCATTCACAAATTCTAAGTGAATTATTTCTTTGAAGGAGCCGCAGTCGCAGCAGGAGCGGGAGTAGTCACAGTAGTCGTCCCAGTGCAAGAAGAAACGGTGCTGCTGCAAGAACTTCTCGTTCACCATCCATCCCTAGACGTCATGGTTCACCAAGTTTCTTAGATCGACGACGTATTACAAGGTTAGTGTGAGAAATGTTAAAGCACAATGTATGCTACTTTGCTGGCACATACCAGATAAATTACAATTTACAATGTAGTGATGTTGAATACAATGTTGAGTTGCTTTAGTCTGAATTTTATTTTGCTGCGTGAAGAAACTATATTTTTGTAGAAGAATAGAATACTTGTTATTTGATCCAAAATTTTATTTGTCCCAAATCTGTTATTTATTTATCGTTGAGTTATGAAGTTAGCATACGAGTGCTTTGCATGTATCACTGATGCACAAATTTTATTTCATTTTGGCCAATTTTATTTTCTTATTTACATTTTATTTTTTACCTTTTCTTTGATGCTACCCACAGTAAATCGTCAGTCAAAGAGGTGAAGAGAGAGCGATCAAGTTCAACGTCCTCCAACAGTTCAGCCGATTGAAATGGTGTTTATGCTGTTTCCGGTCTGACTCCTTGTTTCCCCCTACCCCTGTTGAAGACTTCTCTGAGTACACCGTAGCAAGATTTGTGTTTGCTCTGATCAATTTGTCCTTAGTGTTCTCATGTACTACCTAGCTTCATCTTTTCGTTTACAGAACTGTCCATGTGCATTCCATTAGGGAAATGGGTTACCACTACATATTAGTTTTCTTTACTTCATGTAAATTTATTTTAAAGTCTACCCTGATGTGCAAGTTTGCTGTCCTATAAATTTAAGAGTTTTTGTGATAGCCAGGGTGCATTTCTATTACATGTCCCTTTGCAATTCAACACTTTTCATTTCTTCATTTTGATCAGTTAGATTTATTATCTTTGAGGACAGCAAATACACAGTGCTTGCCAGTTCTGTATTCTTTTGATCAAGACATGACTTATTTCATATTTTATTTTGAAAAGAAGGTAGGGAGTGAATTTGGGGTGTGGGGTTCCCAAGTATTAATTTACAGAGCCAAAAGGCTCCAACAGATTTTTAAAACAATCTGGTTTCCCATCGAATTTCACTTTGCTTGAAATTTTTGTATAGTTTCTATTTTAATTTTGTAGTTATTTTATAGCTGTAGGCGCTTTATACTTTTCAGTGTTGTGATTTTATATCTACAGTAATTAGTGACTGAAATGGTTATCCAGTAAGACAACTGATTGTGATTCATTAAGGATATTACTATTTTTGTTTTCTTATTTTGTGATTTACTTCTTTCAGTTTCTTTTTTGTGGGGTAAAAGACTGAACAATTAATGTTTAAGGTTTCAATCTGTAGCTGCTGATTTTGAATAGTCAGTGGAGATGTGAATGGAGTTCAAAAGAAAACAGTCTGTTTTTACCTCTTGTTTGTAAATTTATGGAATAACTCTCTTTTGTTGCGCTTTTAGAAGAAGTTGGCCAGAAAGCACACAAGCCAGCTCACATTTGGCTACCCTAGTGCACCTAGTGGTATGAAACTTTAAGAGTCCTAGTTTATGCTATTTAGCATGAATGTGTTCTCAGTCTTTCACACTGAGTAAAATTATCACTGATTACCATGTAATTGAATAACTAAGCCGTTGCAGGTGGTTTTCTTTCTTTAAAACTCGTGACTATGTCTGGTCAGACTTCTAATCAGCCAATGCTCTCCATGTCAACCCTTTAAAATTTTTTATGAATTTCTCGGGAATTACGTGTTACCACTTAATGGTGTGACATAAGTACCAAGTACTTAGCAACTCGATCAAAGATGGAATTAGTATTGTGCTTAATTTATTTCTTAACCTAATCAGCTTAAGATATAGTTCAATAGAAATCATAAGTCAGTCTGATCCTCTAGTAAGATGTGTTTTTATTTTATATGAGTTGTGTTCAGTCTCAGAATGTAGTTCAATTAAATCAGTTCTTTCTGCTAAATTTTAATTTTGAGTTGTAGTTATCTTTGAAACCCTTGCACCTTTACATATTTGCACATTTCCTCCTATATTTTTTTTTCTTTTGCTTTATACCTTACACAGCAAGTACAAGTACAGATACAATGTTCAACAGGGGAGGTGATGCTTCTGCAGGTAACATAGTTCTTAAGGTATGTATTCTACCAACCTATTCATCACACAATTTGCTTCATGTATGCATGATTTTCTTTTGTTCACAAGTGTTCTGGTAAGCTTTGATCAGAAGCATGAGTACACCTTTTCTCTATTCTCAACTTATTTTAAATTTATTGATAACCTTAGGTTTGAAATTAACAAAATGTGTAAGTACAGTCTGCAAAAATATTAATGATTGGACTTGTCCCCAAAATATTTAGTTTGTCTGCAGTGACAAGCTATTATCTATAAATGCAATCTAAAGCCAATAGCTTTCTATCAATGTGCTAATACTTTTGAGCACACTAAAATTTCTAATTTCAGTGGTACACTCCTGTTTTCAAGTAATCCTTCAAACAAGACTATAACTTAAATGATAAACTCTCTAGAGATTTTAGGACGTCTTATCAGTTTTGAACAGTCACATTTTTATCATACTCTCCTCTATGTTCACAGTGCTCGCAAACGCCCAATACCATATCAACGATCAAGTCCTCTAGGAAGTGACAATGGTTCAGATGATGATAGTGATAGCAGTGGTTCAAGGTGGTCAGGAGGAAGTCGAAATGGAAGCCAGCGCTAGAGTGTAATTTTGGAGTATGATATGTTTTTCTTCAAATGCTCATGGTCAGCTGACAGCTGAATAATTGTACCTCAAAGAGATATATCATCTTAAATTTATCAGGTAGGAAATATAAGTACAAATCAGAGTCTTCATATCTTTTGTTTGGCTGGCAATGAATCCAGCATCATGACTTAACAACTGTGAAACAGTCTTTCGCTAGAATAGTTAAAATCCATGGACAGTAGTTTTCTTCCAAGTTTTACATTTCTTCATACGTATTGTCTTCTGTAAGAAAAATGCAGTTAATAATATTGTATCCTAGCAAGATGCTGAGGTTTGGTAGCCATGTGACAGAAGTGTCGTCAAAATCCCATGTTGAGTATTTCTGAATTAATATTTGTTTCCAATGAAAACAGTTTCAACTGAGGAAGTCAACTATGTCTGACATAAAATACCTTTTCAGCAATATTGAAAGCAGTCATTTTAGTCTTGAGTGCATTGAAATAGAAGAAATTTCCTTATTGATTTGTACATTGTATAATGATGAGGGTCCAAACCAACGATACTCCTGAGTTAAGAAAATTTATTAGGGGTTGTGTGTACTATCAGCGAGAGTAGAATTGAGTCCCCCTTACGTTGATATTCTAAGCAGAAAGGGTTCCTTTTTTTCTGCGGTGATAGTACCAACAAATATTTCGTATTTTGATCCTGACTGGTAATGTTTGAATAAGACGTGTAAATAAGAGACTGTCAGGATTTTTGAAGTCGTCTTCAGTAATGTAAAAGAACTCATTATGATGTAAGCCTTTAATAGCATACAATATACGTGTTCAGTATATAGATAGTTACCAAATTTCTTTTTTGTTGTTACAAGATTTTTGTCCATTGTATAATGACAAACTTCTGTTTTTAGACTATGCCAATTGCAGCTTAAGAATTTTATTTGGCTATATTTATGCTGTTCAGAAGAGATGAGGATGAGATTTAGGCTGTGTTGTTTGAATATGTAAAACTTAATTGTGTCAGTTTTAACAGTGAGCTCAAATGGAATCTTCGTCTTGTGAGTTTGACCACTTTAAGATGTGACATTAGGTTCAATTCCCGTAATTATAAGGGTTGTTTGTTTCATTTTTATCTTGTAAAAGAGCACATTGTAGCTTACCAGGCAGCTTCAGATCGTGTTACATTTATCTAGTCATATAAGTCAAATAACTTCAAAGTTTTGTTTCACTTTGTTTGAAAGTAAAATTTTGCTGTGTGCATTTATCTAGTCACTTCATAGAATAATTATTTACTGATGTATTACTGTTTTGTTATTGTGTTCTAGTCTTTAAATGTGATACTTTGCCTTTTATCAATTTCTTAGAACTAAGTATTTATTTTGATTTTAATTTTGTCACAAAATTAATTCTTACACAAACTGATTTGGTGACAATACAAGTAGAAAATGTAGCTGATTTGTGATTGAAAAAGTTAATAGTCAAGGCAAATTTAGTTTGAGTTTTATTGACCCTGAAATTTTATGTGCAAAGGAACACCAATAAAAGCACACATACATATTTGACTGAGAACATTTTATTTTGTCTCCTATCTTTACAAAAGAGATAACTACACCATCTCCAGTTAAATAGCACCATGTATAGGTAGGTATGTTGATCCCACTAATTCCTAACACTTCATTGTTGGAAATAAAATATAAAATTCATAAAAAATAAACTATGAGCAGAGGTATCTTCAAAATGAAGTTACAATAAATGCAATAACATCAAAAATAAATGCAATAAAAATAGTTTGATCAAAGGAGCTTACAGGCTTACTATATTATACAAGCTGGTTGAAATGCTGAGAAATTAACAAAATCTTGTTCTGGAAAAGTTGGTGTGAATAAGGTCTAAACGCCTGGACGGGATCCACCTCTTCCACTGCCACCTCTTCGGTCTGAGGGTTTCCTCCTTTTAGTTGCAATATAGACACTCCATACAAAACCAACTAAATTCATGAAGACAACACGTAGCTAGGAAAGATAATTCAGATGTCACATTCCTTCAAAAAATAAAGCACAAACAAGAAATGGTATCTTGAGGATAGGCATAAATACTTACGACTGGCGGCACAACTGTTAGATTGATGATGCTTAGAGCTGTGAGCCACTTCCAGTTAGCAACCAAAACAGGCACATAAATTGGGATGAGCTGATGAATAGCTTGACGGTGTGTTCGACCCTAATGAAGAAAATTGATTGTATCTCACAGAACAAGTATTTTAAATGAGAAAGTAATACTGAAACTTACTTCCAGGCGGGAAATGGTGTACAAAGTAAAAAGTTGATAGAGTGGGGTGAAAATTAATCTTTGAAATAGTAGCTGCTTTACAACGGCAAGATGAGATGTTCCTGGAATTAGCCATTCTAAACATTCAAAGAAGTAATGTGGAATGGATCCGCCAAAGAGTAATCTGGAAACAGAGAATGCACTGTAAAAATGTTCTCGGATCTTCAGCCAAAATTATCACAAATAATAAATAAGCTCCTTACCCATAGGCACCAAAAGCAAAAATACTGTTTTTGTCCAGAGCCTTTCCGCCTGATATACGTTGGGATGTATAATTACCAAGTACATAGATGATAGCACTAAACATAAATGTTACATTACAACAAACATGATATGAAATAAATAAATACTAGGCCATTTCGCCAACACAAATTGACACTTGCCTGGTTATTGATTTAGTGCGCAAAGGATGTGTATAAAGCTGCATAAAGTACGATTCCAAAGATCGGAATGCGACCCGTTTAGCAGATTTGGAAAGTGACATTTTCAAGAGCTTGAAAGCTGTCCTTTGCTTTGTCACAGAGATAATGAGATAATGAGAAGATTAAGGGGAGAAATGTAACATCATTAAAATAATTATAACCACATTGATAGAGAGATTTGTGAATGCAATTAGGCCTTTGAAATTTCTACCAAGAATAAGAATTAAAACAGTGTGTTAACTTACCAAGATAGATTTAAGTTAACGCCGAGCAGGCAAGTAGAAGTCAACCCAAAGGCAATCCGCAACCTGTTGAACGGGGATTACTCAACAAAATATTTTGATGGATAGGACTATTATAAGCAGCAGCACCGTTGGTGCGAATAGCAGCTCCATGGCGTTATACACCCCACAAAGTCCGAGGCCCCAGATGCCCCAGATTACCCCAGATGAGCCCCGGCCTGAGTCCGGAGTCCCTTCTCTTTGCTGGGGCGCGTAAACTCACCGAAATTTATTTGCACCAATTTTTACAGTCAAACTGTTGGATGCACCCCACACGTACCGACAGGTGGGTGTGGACAGTGGACAGTCGTTAGACGTCATTGGTGCGGACGAGCAACCAGGAGTTATGAACCCAGCCAAGGACCAGGGGATTCCCTCATGGTGCACATAAGGGATCGTGCAGTTAGTCCGTTTTTCTTCGATTCGTTCGGCAAATTTCCGGGTACTCGGCGCCTGCAAAGCTCGAGATAGGCCACCCCGCAGTACACGTATGCACTGCATACACGGTGTTGCCTACCCATCAGGCGCGATGACAGCTTGCTTCGGCTGCACTTGGCAGGTTCGCAACAGGAATGTCAGACCTACTTTAAGGATGGTCCGTAACATGGTGGCCCCCATACCCGGACATTTCCATAGTTAAAATGTTCCGCAAGCAGCTGTGCACTGTGCGGGTGGGCTTGCCTACCTACCGACCTACCGTCTCTGAGCAATGCGGTACAGTATCACTTAAAAATTGTCCGGGGTCTGTTGGTGCCCTCCCCCCTCCCCCCTCAGTAGTGCTAATGCACTTAAATCTGCTTAAATGCACATAAAATGAGGAACGAATCCGTTACCTTAAGTGCGCATTTCAATACTTGACTTGACTTGACGACCCGCAGCGCCTTACCAAATGCGGCGCTACCTGCTCTTTTGATTTCATCAATTCTGCTGAAAGAGAGGAAATTTTGTAGAGGCCTCTAAATTCGTTACATGTTCTCACGATCCCAACGAGGGCAGCGCCGATCTATGGTAATACGCGTGTGCCTTATATTTTAGATTTAACGTGCGTTATTGCATCAAATGCGCATGTTATGCGCGTGCGTAATGCACATTAACTGCGTTGAAAACGAGGGGGCCCCACTTCAATTTAGAACGTACACAGGATTACCTGATAGGGATTACACGTGAATTTTGAGGAATTACACATGAATTTTGTTGAAATTATAGCTCCTAAAACCATTAAATTTGGACTAGAAGGTGAAATTTAGTGATAATGGTTTAAAATTGGGCCAAGTATTACACGGAATACATAAGGATTACATAGGGATTACACCCTCAACTGTACACAGGATTACGCGAGTGGTGCCCCCCTCGGTTAAAAAGCGTAACTTTTTATGTGCAGTGCCGCAAAACTAAAATGCGACAAGTAGTATGAATGGGAATGGGGTACGACCAAACCCCAAAGCACTGCACACTTGAGTCAAAATTTTAAATACTTTATTCTGTATTTTCAGCACATTGTTAAGTTTTCACTTAATTTCACTTTTAAGTAAAATTTCTCACTGTACAAATTTTATGAAATTATATATATAGAGGACATAGTTATTTCATGGATCAGCTCTTGATACATCGTTTAAACATTCAGTGTGAGAAGTTAGTAGTTCTCCCTCTTGAGGGAAAGTGTTTCAGTGATTACCTGCAGCAAGACAGACTATAGAGGTCTGGACATAAAATGTGAACAGATAGAAAACAAAAAGCACACCCAGCAGAGACCTATATACTAATAAATATAGACACGAGATGTAACGTTTCTTATAAAACAAACATTGCACAAAGATTTACTAATAAAAACAAAATAAGAATGGTAACATATAACTTACTTATCATACATTTATTGTCTATAAAATAATTTAAAATGATTTCTACACTTTATACAGTTCTTAGATGGTCTTTCATACTAGTATATATACACTGGTCATTTTAATGGCGAAATTTACACATTCAACCCCATTTAAAATTGTCAAGAAGAAATTAATCCAGAAGTGAACGCAGCTCTCTTTCCAGTGCATCGGGTGGGACGGTAGAAGCACGTCGCGCACCTTTCGGCACGCTGGAGCACTGCCGGGTTGCCTTTTGCACGGCGCCAGTGGGGCCGGAGCGCGCGGGGCTCGTCATTGGCGACAGTAATAGAAGATTCGCAAGAGCATAGCGTCTCTTCAGCATCGCCCCTAGAGCAAAGACGTTACTCGTTCAACGAGTATGGCGCGGCAGCGAGCATCAACCGTTTGGCGTGTCCTGTCGGAAAAAGACGGGGAAAGTACGGTATACGAAGGGGAAGAAAAGTCAACTAAAATACATGTACCGGGTGATTCAGAGAAGACGCAGGTTCGGGTGGGTTGGCCTACCCGCTGCCCGTAAGGCGCCATAGCCCCTTGGGTAGGCAAACCCGCCCGCACCTGCATCTTCTCTGAATCACCCGGTACACTTGAGAAATGTGCGTTAAACGTTACCCGACGGTCCGTCGTGGCAGCGGGTGATGGAGCTGTCGGCGTCGGCGCGGGGTACTTGACGGTCCGCACGGGCGCCTGGCACCGGGACCCCGCGAAGCCGCGACGGCAGAAGCAGGCCGAGCGGCTGTCCAGGAGGACGCAGCGGCCGCCGTGCAGGCAGGTGCCTCGGCAGAGCAGGCGCTCACAGCGCTCCCCTGGAACACAGCAGCAGGCGGCAGGCGTGAGTGCGAGGGGCCGACGGCCGACGGGCGGGTGGCGAGGATGGTGCCGTCGCGCTGGTGCTCACCCTCGGTGCCCGGCCGGCACTGGCAGAGAGCCTTGGACTCGGGTGGACCGCGCAAGCAGGTGCCCCCGGACAGGCACGGGTTGGGCGAGCACGGGTCCGTCACGCTGTTGTCCCTCCAGTCCCAGTCGTCGGCGAGGGCAGCCCCCGCGTCGGCGAGGACGGAGGGGATGTCGCCGTCCAGGTCCGCATCCGGCGTCTCGCCTGAAGCATGCATCAGAGCGGTCACGACCAGGGGCGGGTGGTGCAGCCAGCGAGCCAGCCCACTGGAGGGCGCTACTGGCGCTACTCACCTCGCACGCAGTGCCAGCTGGACACGTTCCAGCGGCCGGCGGCGCATCGCGCCACGGTGCCCTGGAGGCCCTGGAGGCCCTGGAGGCCCTGCAGGTCCTGGCCGAGTTGCAGGCGGTGCGGCGGACTGCAGGACACGGTGCACTCGCTGCCCTCCGCCATGCGCTGGGCGTCGTTGCTGTCGTCGGCGGCGTCCTGCCGGTGCTTGGGCTCCGGGTCCAGGGCGCGGCAGGAGACGACGCCGTGCTCGGGGAGCGTCGGCACCGGGCAGGAGCGCCGCGGCGCCTCCTTCTTGGGCGGCGGCGCGCCGGCTCGGCCTGCAGAGGGCACGCCATGTATGAGAAGGTCGGTGGCACGCAGTGGGACTGCAGTGGGCGCCCACTTACCACACTTACTTACCGGTGCACACGGGGGGCCGGCCGTCCCAGCGCAGGTCGTCCCCGCACTGCAGCCAGGTGTTGCCGCGCAGCTGCAGGTCGCGCCGGGGGCAGCGGTAGTGGCATCGGGAGCCCCACGCCGTGCTCGCCGTGCAGCGGGGGCTCTTCTGCCCGCCCGCCCCGCCCGCCGCGCCCGCGCCCGTCACCAGCGGAGGCGCGGGGCCGCAGCGCCGCACTGCAACGAGGACACACGTGGATCACATCGTCTCACTCATTCATCAAAAGTGTCGTCGCTGTGGGGCTTACCGATGACGGTGTAGGTCAGCCGGCACAGGGTGGGCTGCCCCCGCGCCCCGGCCCCCGCCGTGCTCACCAGCCTGCCCACCACGGGGTGCGGCCCCTCGGGCACGGGGTCGCCCGCCTGCGGGCCCGCAATCACGTCGAGAGGCGTGCCGTCCCTGAGGGGTGGGTGGATACACACATGACAGAGGTTATTGAACGTTTGCAGCAACAGGGGTGGAGGCCTTCGGGCGGGGATTGAGCGCTCACCTGGCAGAGATCTTGTCCATCAACACGTAGTCCTGGCCCTTGGGCGCCAGCACGGTTTTATCTCCCGGGCAGGCTGCTGAAACAAAAATGAGAGGTGTTCCAGCCTAAAGTGATGGCGGTGAGTATCCCATTGTACACCGATTTCGCTAGTTCCTCAACTGTCGCACGCTTTGAGGCCTCCCGCAACAGTGTTTTACTAACTACCTGATATACGAGGTTATCATCTGACTGCCAATCGACCCGGCATTTTCTAAATTGCGTTTGCCGACGTTGTGCCGGCGTGCGAGTCATGTCATGATACCGGACTCGACATAAAACTGATTTACTCCGGCAGGCGCCCTTGCGCAGGCGATGTAGCAGGTAGCCGCGGCACACAGCCGCGTTGGCGTGGAGCGGCTGCCGGGGCCGGGGCTCGTGCCGCTGACCGAGTTGATTGCAAAGTGTTGCCAAAATAGAATTTATGGTCACGTCAACACCATACATCATATGCAACGTCAACGTAAGGCCGACCCTAATGCCCCAATCTAAATTGTATGCTAATTGCGTTTATTCTGTAGTCCGGATCAAGTAGTTGGCTCCTTAGCCGCAGTTCCGGCGGACGTACTCACCCAGGGCGCCGTCGGCCGGTGCCGCCGGCCTCGGAGTGTACGGGTGCAGCGGGGCACCCCTGCTGTCCACGAAGACGAGGTTGGCGGGCTCCGGGACCGCGGCTGCTCTGGGGGATCCCACGGACGGGCTGGCGTGCACCACGGCCCGCTGCGTCTGGAACACGGTCGCGCTGCATTTGTGACACTTGAAATGTTCAGGAGGAAATGTTTGAGAAATATTATGATACAAAAACTTGTGAAAAATGACAAGTGATTTTTTTTTTGTTTCTTTTTACGTGGTTGCTGGGGCTGGGCGCTGCGACACAGATAAGCAGTTTCAGTTTAGAAAGCAAGTGACTGCTTGTCCCAGCCTTTACCAAACAGTAAGTCGCGTTGCCCGCACGCCATGGACAGGACAGGCATCATTGCGTCTTTGACAACAATGTCAATGACAAGTCAGTCAGATAAGTGACCGGAAGCAAGCTGATTGCGGTCAAGTTGGGCGATGATGTCCTAGACTGTCACCTCCGCGTCAGGCGTCAGGGGTGACATCAAGTACACAGCATCGTCCGTCACCGCAGAGCAGGGAACACACAGCCAATGAAGTGATGGACTGGCGAACATGTTGTATCGCGCTGACAGCGGTTTATTGAAAGTGCTTTGCCGACTAAGGGGTCACCCAGAAGGTAGTCATTCGCCATCACGAACCTGCCTAGCATGAGAGTGCGAGGTGCAGCGCATGCAAGTTCTCATGGCGCCTGCTAGGTAGGCAACATCCTGCCCGTAGGGCATGCGTGTATTGCGGGGTGGCCCACCCCGAGTCTCGCAGGCGCCGAGCTCCCGTAATCAGCCGAATGAATCTGAAGAAAACGGGCGTTCTTTCTGGACCAACCTACTAGGCCAGACAACATTCAACCGCATTTACATGCGGCTGGTTCCAATGCTGGGGAAAACCATCGTGCTCAGTCGTTTGGCTGCCGGGCGTTGACTTGTTCCCGTTTGCGGTCCTCACCTTGGCTGGGTCCGGCTGGATGGGGATGGTTAGCCCCTGGCCGCGCGCGGACACGACTGGTACCGCCGCCACCGCGGAGCCTCGCTGCACCGTCCGGAGCACCGTCACGTTGGACGGCGGTGGCGAAGGTGGCTCGGGACTCCAGCTGCGGGGCTGCGCCCAACACATAGAGATCAGCTTTAAGAACCAAAAATATTTCATCAAAAATACCACTGTACTGGGTGTAACAGAGCACGCTCTAGTGATGCGGGTTTGCCTAAACTCACTACGCCCCTAGCGCTATCATGGCCCCCGCCGCGGCTCACCAAGATTCTCTGCAATCGCAACAACACTGCAGCGTCCGCTCTGATACAAGATGTGAAAAATTTATATGTGAAAATTTTCTTGAAAATGACCCTTCCTTCCATCACCTCATCCCCCTCCCCTCTAGTCTGTCTCCGTTCTAATATCTCTGTCTCACTCTCAAGACAGTCGGCATGCCGCCGCCCGCGCCTACTGTTTATGCTGCTGAACTGATGCCAAATCCCAACGATAAAATTTTTCACTTGGGTGTGATTGGATGACGTCGGTATTCATTTTATTTTTATTTTAAACATCGTCGGCCGGTAAACGCTGCGGGACGGCGGCGACGGGTAGTGTTTGATATCTTGGCACGACCGCGCGGCGCCTTAAATCTAGAGATATGTCGAAAAGAGGTAATTATGGCAATATCCACGGTCGAGAATCGGATTGGGGACGCAAGGTAAAGAGACGCTCTGACTGAGAAATAAATAAAATTCAATTCGTACTGACATCATATAAAAACAGCCGGGAAGAAAAAGAAATATAAGAAAACTGTCTTTTTGCGTTTGTTACACTCTTCTTTTGCGTGCCCCTTTTCTCGCATTTGCACCGACCTGGGCGGCGGGCTGCTGCTTCTGGTGCCGCATCTTGCGCCCCTCCCCTCTCCTGCGATGGCCCGCTCCGCCGCCCGCTCCACCGCCTCCACGCCGCCTGGGTTGCTCCGGCCGAGGGTCTCCGGGCGGCCTCACCCTCCGCGTGCTGACCATCGTGTCGGCCCTGCACAAGAAGAGACATCATACAGACCGCACACTAAAAAATCGTTTCCTTAACCAAAAAAAACAACAACAAACACTTAATGACATTTTCTCTTGTTTTAAAGGTTAACGACAAAACTTCCGGGATATTTTTCTTTCGATAAAGGCAAAGTATTCCTTAAATAAACGGGGAGGCGAATAGTTATGTTTAATTAAGGAGAATCAGCTAATTTCAAGGAAATTCATTGTTTAACCGAACCGATTTTCTGGGTGCACGCTGCTCATATTACATCATTTTTGAAGGGGCGGGGGTTTGACGTTCACTAAGGATGGCGACGATCCGGCAAAGTGCGCACTTTTATCTTGATCCGCCTCTTCACCACCATACCCACCCTTCCATGAACTGAAGCCTGTCGTCCGCCTTGACCTCCTGCCTGTCCGCCGGGTAGTGGTACACGGGCATCTTGGAGCCCGGGACCCAGACGTTCTTGTGGCCACGCTCCCCGGCAGCAGCGTGCCGCTTGGACTGGCCTCGCACCCCCGGCGAGGGCGTCTTGCCCACATGGCTCGCCCACAGCGCCCTGAAACACACACACGAGACGAAATATCCATTAATGACAAATCTAATTCCCCGCGAACACATGGCGCGCACAAATCCACTGCACGTTCGCACACAGCTTTTAATTTCAAGAAACCGCGAAAATGGCAAATAAATCTATCTGTGGCGGATGGCGGCACCCTTGCAACAGGATAGACTCGGCCGCCTCCTTATCAAGGTCGGTCGACTCCATCCTCCCTCCATCTTCGCCGAGCACCTTCTCGCCCAGGTTGCGCAGTTTCCTCTGTAAACACGGGCGCTCGACGAACAGCAGGCGCACTATGTAAATCGACCGGTACAACTTTGCCCACTATTCTTGGAGCTCGCTCCCGAAAAATGTTTTGAGCTCGGCCGTGATACGTCTGCAGCCATCCATAACAGGTGTGAAAATTGCTCGAACCGCGATATCTCAACAGATGGCTATCAGTACACCATGTCGGGTTTTACGGCAAATAGCGAAAGAAAAGAACCAAAATATAACTCGAGGTAAAAGCGAGCAAAATTTTAATCGAGAATATTTCAGTATCAAGTTCTTTTAACTTAATTAAGCAGGAATTACAGAAAGCGCTGCTTGCACTCCTGGAAATATTCACCGCAAATGCCCGTAGTTTTCCGTAAGTAGTTTGTCTACGAATAATAGTTTAGTCAATCATGAATTTGTCTACTCTACCGTTACATATTTGGATTTGCAGTGTACCTCACGTCTCAGACGTCATTCGGGACGACGGCGGTGGCGGCGTGGCCCCGGGCGGGCGGCCCGGCCTGGACGGTCGAAGTCGACTTGACTTGAGGTGTCAATAGAGCCACTCTAAGGGCCGCGCCTGGCAGCAGGGCGAGTCGACGCATTGACCCCCTCCCACGCAACGGGGTCGTTCCACATAACAACACGTGACCCTCTTTTATTTTAATTTTGTGCGATTTATGACCCCCTTTCCCTTTGTTGAGTTACAGTTGGCCGTTGGCCGGCAGCGCCCCGTGTGGTGCATTTCTCACCCACCTGCGCGCGGTTTGTATGTTGGTATCGGTTGAGCCCGAGGAGCTCCTCTGGCTCCTCTAGATTACCATCATAAAGAGCCTGCTCTGCACCCGAAATTGTGGACGGGAGGCGGGCAGGGGCGCGAGACGCCGCCGGCCGGCCAGACGCGGCCGGTGTCCTCACCTCGCCGCCTTTTCTTCCGGTCGGAATGAATCATAGTCTGACCGGGACCGCACCGGTGGTGCTGACAAGCACTGCATCTCGCCGGCGAGGACGCGCCGGGCAGGATGGGCGGGATGGAAAAGGAAGCAGCGGCTGGAGCGAGCAGTGCCTCGATGAAAAAGAAAAGGAGGGCCTACGTTATCCGCCTGCTACGAATCATTTTTGCCGACTTTGCTCCAAACATTTACAATGAAACACGTTTTTCGATGAATAGGTGCGAGAGGAGCTCTGGCGTGTCGGGTAGGAGTCCTGTAATTATTTCACTATTTCAGGATGTGGTGCAGTAAAGACAGCAGTGTAAGTCGAAAAGCCCCCCC